TAAAAGCTGCAGAACTGAACCGCTCAGGAAAAATTTACTACAAGAGCGTGCAATTGCTGGCTTATGCGGATGAAATCGACATCATCGGTAATAAAACCCGCGAAGTCTGTTCTGCCTTTTCCAAGTTGGATAAGGAAGCAAAGCGAATAGGTCTGGTGGTAAACGAGGACAAGACGAAGTTTCTCCTGTCATCAAACAAACNTTCCGCCCTACTAAATGGTAGCAGCACGGAAAGTTGTGGGGAAGAAGAACCCGAGCCCGCAGTCGATGATGACGGAGTCGACGTTCCACCGCCTGTCTATGACGAGGATGNTTTTAAGCTATAATAAGCAATTTTTTAGTAAGTAAGTTATTGGTTTTGATTTTTTTTGTAGGGCCCCCCCTAAATTTCGTTCTGGCTACGCCCATGAGCAAGTACTTATGCTCGCGAGGTCCTTTCTCACCTGAGTACTGGCGACCTGCGAACATTTAAGTTTTATTAGTACATACTTAATATTCGTGGATGTCCATGCACATCTGCATACACATGCATACGAGGGAAAGTAGGTACATTTGCACGTATGTATGTATGTACACGGTCCCCCTCTTTTTTACAATTTACATCAAATTTACTTTAAATAAATTATATCTTACCTCCGCTCCAACTATTGCGAAATACTAGTGGGTTTGAAGGCTCTAATACGTGACGGTGTCCAATTAAGAACGGTTAGATGCACTTAAACGGGCCGTTTCCAGAATTTATATAAATCGTATACCAACACTTGTATCGTTTTCTGAATAGAAATGTATTTATTATTATGTACTGAACCGCACTGCACTAAATACTTTGAAATTCGCGACTGCTCGACCCGACACTGAAACCATATTTCTATGAGACTGAAGTCTTCAACTTTCTCTAGCGCTATTTTATTAGCGCTGATCAAGCCGAGGGAGTTTCTCAACCGCTTAGCCACATATCCACGATGTTTTATATTCCTACTCAAACGGTAGCTATACTAACACATACACACACTCATACACATTCACATACGCCTAAACTGCCTTATCGAACTGCCTGGTTAGCAAGATCTCGCACCCCTGGCTTTCACTTTGGAAGCCTCATAGATGCTATCGCGACTTCCACATCCGGCGGATACACACTCACACAAACCCAGCCATACCAAGTAAAAAGCTGCGTTACAGGCTCGCAGCCGCCGATGGTGCCTGCACCATGGAGCGTGTGCGTAAAAAGAAGTTCATAACGTATCCTGTATCCTTGTATCTGTACCGCCAAACGTGTGGCTTCGACCCACGACCTATAGCCGGGCTTCCAATGCTGTGCCTGTATCAGTCAACATTTCATGTACACACACTTCGACAACCAAATCCATATCGCATCCCTGCAAAAAATGGGACTAATCCGGGATGACTCCGGGATGAATAGCAAAGGAGCATGCGACTAATACCACTTTTGATCTCTTTATATGGAATGAACTGATCGCTTTTGTTCGAGCATGTCCTATGAAGAGACTAATTGTTCACCTTTATACCCGAACGGGTATAAAAAGCGACTAGTCACTTTTAAAAAATAAAAACCGCGATTCGAACCGGGGTGCTCAGTTTTGTTAGGCGAGTACTCTCTCTGTGTGCCAACGCCACACATGAAATTTCATTGACTAAGTGCGCACATATCATTAAATCGTTAAAAAGTACCCGTTAGGGATGAGTCGGGGACTAATTGATCTCCAATTATACCCGCAAGGGATGAGTCGAGACTAATTGACCTCCAATAGTACCCGTATGAGACTAGTTGCGACTAATTAATGCCCAATTGTACCCGATTGAGAGGAATCTAGGAATACTCTCTTTAGAGATTAGTCGCACAATTTTTTGCAGGGATATAACAGGTGCTGGGCATCTATAGAAATTAATCACTTGTGTATGTAAATAAATATATAGCAAACAAAGAAATGGGTGAATAAAATAAAAAAATAAAATAAAATAA